GATGAACATGAGCCACCAATGTGATGTCGCAGCTGGTAAAGCAAACAAAACTCTGGCTTGCATCCATAGATGCTTCTCAAGTAAATCCCAGGATGTCATCCTCCCACTGTACTTGGCCTTGGGGAGGCTGCAGCTGGAGTATTGCATCCAATTCTGGGCTCCACAGTTCAAGAAGGATGTCAAGAAGCTTGAGAGAGTCCAGAGGAGAGCCATGCACATAATCAGAGGGCAAGAGAATAGGCCTTATGATGAGAGGCTGAGAGCCATGGGACTCTTCAACCTGGAAAAGCACAGGCTCAGGGGTGACCTGGTGGCTGCCTATAATTACGTAAGGGTTGAGCATCAGGATCTGGGAGAGCGTCTGTTCACCAGAGCATCCCTAAGGGATAACTAGGACCAACTGTCATAAACTCCTCTGTGACCATTTTAGGCTGGACATAAGGAAAAACTTCTTTACTGTCCAAGCCCCCAAGGCCTGGAATAGACTCCCTCCAGAAGTAGTGCAGGCACCTACTCTGGACTCTTTCAAGAAACGTTTAGATGCTTATCTTGCTGGGATCCTCTGACCCTAGCTGACTTCCTGCCCCTGGGGCAGGGGGCTGGACTTGATGATCTTCAAAGCCCCTTCCAGCCCTAATATCTATGAAATCTATGGAATCTAGCCATGAGGGGTTGGGGGGGGAGGGAGGGAGGGAGGGGACAGACTGGCACCAATGCAGCCCCAACAAAAAGTGTGGCCTCCTACCAGCCACACGGTGCTTGGGGTTTTGGAATTGCAAAGGGAAGGGTGGCTGTATTAATGGTCACCACTCTCCCACCAGCAAGTCTCCCCAACCTGTGGGGTGTCCTAGAGCCAAATGTGAGGGCTCTGTGGGCTACATTTGGCCTATGGGCCAGAGACTGACCACTCCCGGCATAAGAGACAGCATTTATTCTGGGACTTTACATTGCTTTTGGGTTATGTTTACACTAGAGCAGTGGTTTTGCTTATTTCCTAGCAGGCCAGATCCAGACTGCAAGAAGCTGCCTTCACCATATATGGAATCAGCTGCAGCAGTGCAGGGGTTAACACAGCAGTTGCTCAGCCCCACCTACTGCTGACATGCAGGGCTTCAAAGCTGGGAATTCAGAGGCAGGCTCTGCCCCAATAGTTCATCCCTCCGCAACCATCCCTCCAGGCACCCCAATAGTTCTGCCCCTTCTAGAAGCCACACACTGCAGGTGGAGTAGCTCTGTGGCAGGATGCTGCCCATGGACTGGATGTTTGACACCTGACCTACAGGGACCCATAGTTTGGCTAACTATTCACATCCAACAGGGGTAACAATAAGGCATGGTCCCAGGCCTCATGCCCACATCTGAACAGGCTCCCTGACCTATCAACCAATGCTGAAAGAAAGCACGTGCGACATGTGCCCCTACACTGGGTGTACTAAATGAAGAAGTACAGAAGGCGCACCGAACCAAGACATGAGCACGCAAATGTGCCAAAATTCAAATATACAATTGTGTGAAAACCTGTATAAGCCTACGTATAAGGGGTACTGACCGGCCTGCAGGGGGGGAGTTCTTGTCTCTTATGTGGGGGGTGCCGTGTCTCAGTGGGTGTCTTAACCACTGAGCTATTGGTATAATGGGACACAAATAGCCATACCTCGGGTCAAAAGTCTCATAAACAACTGTCTTGTGTAAAGTGTGATCTGGTAGGTACACTCAGCCAATAACTACTGGAAAGGTGAGCTGGATAGAGCAACACTTAGTATACAGATATTGACCGGATGTAGATATGGCCTAGGGCAGAGGTGTCAAACTCACCCAGGCCAGGACTCTGGGCTGGATCTGAACTGCAGGGCTCCTCCTGGGTTGGATACATGGGGGCAGAGGCTGTAGCAGGTGCAGCAGCAGGTCTGGCAAGCGGCTGGGGTCCAACAGCACCACAGCAGAAGTGGGCCAGGTGACTGCAGGGCAAGCAGGGCTGTGACAGCAAAACCCTTCATCGTCCTGCTGCTCAGAGCCATGTCCAGCAGGGTCCAGGGGTCCCAAATTCTGTGACAGTCTCTCCCCCCTCCCCAGCCGCGCGCCAGCTTCCACTCCCCAACTACTGACCGGAATGGCTCTAGGCTGAAACTGACCTGTGGGCCACATGTTGTGGGATCCTTTGGCCCTAGGCGACTTCCTGCCCTTTGGGCAGGGGACTGGACCTGATGATCTTACAAGGTCCCTTCCAGCCCTAACGTCTATGAAATCAATGTTGGACGCCCCTGGTCCAGGGCTCAGATCATGGGGTTCAGGACTGAGATGATCGTGTTCATGGTCTACCAGCAAGAGCCTAGGTGCATACAGGCTTAGATGGAGCTGGGCGGGGTGTTATGAGAGCGGCACCTGAATATTGATTGGGCTTCAGCGCTTAATTCCCCTAGCGAATTTAGTCCCTTGTCTTTTTAATTAACGATGTTCCAAAGCACTGCTGAGGAGCCAGTTTTGTTAACTTTTTGTCTGGTCTCTGTAAAACGTTATGACCTCTTTAAAAGGCTGTTGCTAGAAAAAGCTCCATGCGCCCAGATATCAGAGCCGACAGGAACGTTGCTGCAGTGTTTTGCATCATGGCTGTTCCCGATGGCAGCTCGCTGCGCCGGCTCCTGGGTCCCTCCCGGGCATTTCACTGAACTGGGCTGTCAAAAAAGCCTGAACACACTTCTGTCTGTCCAGTCTGCTCGTCACAGGGCCGCTCCTGCCTGAACCGCGCCAAACCTCCCTCACGGGCAGCTGTTAAACTGACGAACAAATCTCCCAGCACCGCGCGGCTCGGCACAACGCAGGGGCAGCTTAGCCAGGCTGCCGCAGGGGTGCCGCGGGCGAGCTGCCTGGCATTAGCACTGTGAGGTGCGCAGACCCCATTTGGGAGATGAACACAGGGGTTTGGGACAGGACTCCGCAGCCGGACCTGCGGTGGGCTTTCCGAGGTGCATTGCTCTGTGTCATCAAACAAGTGAAAACGAAGAGCTGGCATTTCCTGGAGTCTGACAAGCTTGAGAATCACTGGGTACACGGGGTACCCCTAGCGCAAGGAGGCTGGATCTGCGCTGTACCCCACTGCCCTGCTGTGCCCCTCAGGGGCCACAGCCCCGTGTGCTGGGCGGGCATCCAGCTTGGGAAGGGGCTCACACCCCTGAGATACGCCCCCTCCCCCCCGTGGCTGTGGGGGAAGGGCGGGGGGG